CTAAATTTATATCTGCGGGAGTGCTGGAAAAAAAGCTGGGTGGCAAAGGCTTGCCTTGGACACGAATCAGAATCACGGAATGTTTTGGGTGGGAAGGGACCTTAAAGCCCACCCCGTCCCACCCCCTGCCATGGGCAGGGACACCTTCCACTAGACCAGGTTGCTCCAAGCCTCATCCAGCCTGGCCTTGGACACTTCCAGGGATGGGGCATCCACAGCTTCTCTGGGCAACCTGTCCCAGTGCCTCCCCACCCTCTGTGGGAAAAATTCCTTCCTCATATCTAATCTAAGGGAAGAAGGAAAAAGCAACTGAAGATCAACCAAAACCACCAAGGCCACGCAGGGAACCGACACTGATGTTGTGCTGCTCCTGTCCTTTCCCCCTGCGCAGGCACCAACAGTGCAGAATTTTCCCTTTCGTATCTCAGAAGACTTTGGATCATCCTCATGTATTTCCTATTTTTTTTATTCTCTACGTTCCCTCCCAGAGCTGCAGCCATGGCACGGTGATGCCAGGACAGTCCCCCAGGCCAAGCCGCCGGGCTGGCTCACTCCCTCGCTCCGAGCCAGCCCTTGGGCTGGAAATGCCCTTTGTGCTGCTGGTGGGTGCCGGAGCCAAACACACGCAACCCCTTGTCGAGGTGTCCTTGCTGCTGGTGGCACCTTTGGGACCCTGGCTGGGAGCAAAGCAGGAGCTGCTCTCCCAGAGGGAGTATGGGAACCCCCCCGGACCCATTTCTGAGCTGTTTCACATGGAAGCAGCTCAGTTGCACCCTGCAAGCCAAGCCCAGCCCAGCCCACAGCTCCTCACCACCCTGGGGTGATTTCCTTTGCTGTTTGGATGCCGGGAGCTGTTTTGGAGCAGGGACGTAAACACTGAACCCAGCCCTAGCAGGTGGCTGCAGAGGGACACAGGGCAGGTGCTCTTCTCCATCAGAGGGGACATCAGCAGAGGCTCCGCTGTCCTCCTGCCACCCGACAGCACGTCCTCGGGGAGACACTGCTCTGCCAGGGGAAGGGGGACCATGGGGGGGGTTCTGGGGTGCAAAGCCCATGCTCTGTCCCTGGGTGAGACGAGCTGGAAGCCAAACAAGGTTTCCACAACTACTGAGAGTCTCATCTTGGAGAGCCAATTTGGACACCCGCGGGCTTCACATCAGACCCCACCAGCCTCACAGAAGTGTCTACAAACAGCGGTACAGACACTTTGCTGCTTGTTAGCAAACACCAGTTCCCACGCTGGAGTCTGCTCTGCTGCTGCTGGCAGCCCCCCGTGGGGCTGGGGATGGGCCTCACGCCTCGCTCTGCTGAGCCAGAGCCCGTTCAGTAGCGCGTACAAAACCCTTTCGCAGCACCTACCTGGAGGCTGCTCTTGAAAGGTTGAATGAAGTCACGGTGGAAATCCCAGGGAGCGATTGCTCGGGACAGGGGCCGTGCTGGAAGGAGACGCCTCCGGGCAGGACTCGTTGGCTGTGCTTCTCCTTCTCCGGTTCCCACTGATCTTTCCAGGAGGACTGGCACAGCGCCCTGACTCCGCGTCCCATAAATAAGGCACAGCATCAGCTGTCATGTCAGCAGGAGACAAAACATTTAATGCGAGAGGCTTGAAATGGAAGCAGGAAATGAAAAGATAAAGGGCAAATTTTATTTTAGATTCCTTGTTGGTACATATTTTCCTTCCTGACAGTAAGGGGATGCGATGGCTCTGTCAGCCCACCGCTGGAGGATTCATTTATGGAAATGTAATACTTTTTGCAGGAAAGTGGGAGGGGGGATGTTGGCAACTCTGGGTGAGTGAACGCACGGTGTGAGGAGATGAAGAACCCAGCTATTCCCTCTTCTCTGAATGGTTGAGGGAAAACTGCTGGTCCCGCAGGAATTGTCAGGACAGCTTGTAGGGAGCAAGCAGGAGCTCGGCCCTGAGCGGGGCACGAAACCAGCCTGCTCTCCAGATAGCAGGGAAAGGAGGGAGACGGGGGGGAAGACGAGCGCGGAGAACGAGGTTCAAAGCAAACATCCTCCAGCACATGTAATTACACCCAACTGAAGATTATTTCCTAACCTTGAATATATTTCAGCTGTAACTTAGCAACCTGGATGGGGTAAAAGCATCTGAACAGGAAGGCAGGTTCAGAGGAGAGATTTAGCCTTGCACTCTCTTTTGTTCCCATACCTTAGCAACAACTCCGCGCCGGAGAGGAGACGGCCAGCTCCCACCGACTTCCAGGGCAGCCACGGAGCCAACCTCCTCCCGTGTCAGCGGGAATCTCCTTCGCCACCCAGACCTACATTACGAGATTCACGAGGCATTTCTCTGCCCAAACACGAGCCAACCGTGGCCGCAGAGGCTAAACGACGCTGGTTCACGGACTACTCGCGCCGTTTCAGCGGAAACCTGTGGTAGCACGTGTGCTGAGTCACTGACAGGTGAGAGGAGGATGGAAAACACTCGGAGAAATGGACCCTAAAGACAACTCTGGACTTGCCAGCAGGATGTGTGTCTTCTACTCACCTGGACACCTGGAAAACTTGGGTGTAGATGGTTTAACACTTGACTTTTTGCCTTTATCCTCCACATACACGTGTCCCCTTGCAGAGGGATGTGCAACAGCCTTGCTTGAAGCACGTTAACACAAGGAGGGAAGCGACGTGTCCAGTGACAAACAACAGCCTGCAAGGGCAGGAAGGGACATCCATCCCACTCCAACACTCCTCTCACTGCTGCCCAGCCTGCCTGTATCATCCCGACACTGCGTCTCACGTCCCAGAAAGCAGGTGAGCTAACCACAGCCTGGGGGTGCCACAACACGCAGGATCAGGAGCTTGGACCAGGGTAAAGGTTTTCTGCAGCAGCTGCTGACCTCGGACACCCGACGTGCGAGGGATCCGCCTTTCCGAGAGCAAGTGGAAAACACGTGAAGCTTGAGGCACGCTCACTCAGAGACTTCACTGCACCATCCACTCCCCGCTTGAAACATCCACTTTATTATGGGCCGCAGGGATACGATCAACCTGCTAAACTAACATTTACAGTTTCACGTCCTTCCAAGCTGTCACCCTCCACACCACGCGGCTGAACACCCTCACTGCGTCTCACACACGCCTCTGCCTAATGCCAACTACTCCCAACACACAGATCTCATCCGCAACGAAGCCCCCGAGGCCGCTGGCTGCTGCGCCGAGATCACCCAGCATCCCGAGGATCCACGCGGTCTCGTCGGCATCCCCACGCCACCTCCAGTCTTAATTCCTAGAAACCATGAGCTCCCCGGAGCAGGATCATCTGCAGGAGCGAAAGCACTTGGAACCACCTGTGACTCTTCAATAAAAATAAAGAGAATAAGTTATTTGTAATAAATTTATTTGATATATTGACTTACAGAGCTAAATTGAACATATAATAAACAGCACCAAGCCAGTGAAATTCAGTCTACAAAACCAAGTTTATTACAAAAAGGTGACTGCAATGCCTGACTCTTCACTTCTGGATTTGGATGGTTTTAAAAAAAAGCTAACCCAAACCCCACAGGTGTTTTAAAAAGGCTTAAGAACGTAGGCACCGGGGCTTGCAGAATGTCTACGGCGGCAGCGATGATCTTGTTGCAACATCTGAGGAGAACCAAGGCTGCCTTCACCTAACCCCTGTTTTATTAACAGGGGAAGAAGCTGAAGGTGGCTGTTGAGTCTCCTCTGCCGTTCAAACACCCTGCCTTTGCACCCAAAATAAAACATGGGGTAAGAGTCAACTCCAGACGGGGCATTTCCCATTTAATGGGAAAGCTCCCCGCGTTTTGCTCCTGGAGAAATCCGCTCTCTCTGCTGGGTCTGGCTAGCGGGGGGCACGCAGCATCACCAGCCTGCAAAGCATGGGGCAGGGCTTGGGCAGCAAACCCGGAGCCTGGAGAGGAAGCTCTCCATGCATCTGGCATCGGAGACGAACGCGCGCATTCACGCTGTACCCGTGACGCCAAGGAGAACAACGTCCTCTGGCTACAGGGGTTCCAATCAACGCTGGCTTCTCTCCGCCGGCCTTACCAGCCTACACCAGAAATTAATTTGGCCCCTGCTGGCTGGTGAGACCCTTACTGGTGGCGAGCCGGTCAGCTGGTTTACCCCGCTGGGAAGAGCCGATCCGCAGTATCCCTGCCTAGCCTAAACTGCCACACACTGCTGCTATTTTCTTTGAAACAAAACACTGCTTTGCTGGATGTAAAAAAAACAATACGAAGTAACCAAATGATGATAGATCCAAAATACGATGCCTGCAGCATGAACAGAGGATTGATCGCTGCTCCTGGTGCCCCCCACGAGGCTGCAGGAAGGCTGAGGCGGCAATCCCTGCGCCGGCGCTCCACGCACGGCACGCCTCTGCTCCGACACACGGCACACACATTGCAGCTGCCCAGGATAAACACGTACATTCAGCCTCAAGAGCCTTTCCGAGGCTGCTCTCCAACAGCCCACCAGTCACTTTGGCTGCAGCCATGACAAAGCGCTTTCTGAAGCATCCTATATCCTTTATTTTCCACCCAAATTCCCCCCCGTCCCCGCCCCGAAATCATAAAGCACACAGACTGCAGACTTAAAAGGTGTAACAGGGTCCCGACCACTCCTCCCTCCCACCCAACCCAGCCCCAACCACCAAGGCACGTCAGACTGCCCCTCCCCCTAGGACTACCTTCACCCAAATTTTCCCCCCACTCCCCCATTTTTAAAGGGTGAAGCCGACACAAGCATTTTCCTCACTTGGAAGCAACAAGCGCTTTCCACCGCGGCTTTTGTACGGACAAAACCAAATTCTAACAAAACACATCTCAACTGCCACCCTAACGTTTCCATGGGAAAGGTTACTCTTCTTGAAACACATTCCCTGATGGACGATGCCACCAGTTGGCCTTTGCAGGCTTGAGGTCAAATTTTAAGCTCCTAAGCTTTGTCAGAGAGATCCTAAATCCCTCAACATTAGGTACGCTTGTTTTTTTTTTCCCTTTTTAAAACACTGTTCTAGGTTTGCGTGCCTACAGAAGCCAGATATCCGCTGGAAGGCTAACTTTGGTGCAGTTCTAGCTTCCCACCAGCTCAAGCCCGTCTTCTTTCCAAGCCAACATTATTGCCCTGAATTTTGGTGTGTGAAGATTTTCAGAAAGAAGAGCCAACAGATGGGTGCAATCCCCAACCCTGGGAGATTAGGACCGTGACCTGCTCTTTCCCATCACCAGAGAAGGGACCATCTCCTTGCAGAGGTCCAGCAGTTGCACGACTTCTGCTCCTCTTCAGTGCTCTGAATCCGAGACGTAAGAAGGCTGAGTCCATCTCCACACGAGCATATCTTCTCCTGCGACTCTGTGCGACTCGGTCTGAATCCGCGACTCGTTCGAGGCCAGAAAGTCCACGGCTCTCTCCCACACCCGCTTCATTTTTTTCCTGCAAGAAACAGCAACAACAGGAAAATAAATGAGAATCATATCCTCGCTGTGTTTTCCTGCTTACAGCAATTGTAGCTGCTGATCCAGCTACCACGAGCTGCCTCCTGTTCCCTGCGCAGACAGTAAAGGAAATTAAACCAGAATTTTGGTTTAAAAGCCATTTCAGGCCAAGAGATGAAAACACAGGCCCTGCCTGGGGGGACAGGGGAACAAGACCCTCTGTCAGCACCAGTAATTGACGACGGCCCTGAATTTCCAGTTCAATTCGTATTCGATTAGCAAATGCCCTCACCCTTCCCGCACGCAGAGATCTCAGACCAGGGAGGACAAACTGAAGTTCCCCTCCAGTTCTGAATCAGTGTCTGGTAATTCCGGGCACCCCACACAGAGAAATGGGTTCAAACCAGCTGAAATCCCCACTAGCAGGAAAAGGAGGTTTGTGACTGACAGCGAGGATGTTGGAGGCTTTGCAGCACACGCAGCACTCTGTGCCCTCAGGGGGACGAAAAGCAGCTCCATTTAACCAAAACAGAGGAAACATCCCTGCCGAGATGGAGCAAGAGGCACGTAAACCACAGAGAAGCAGGCTGCAGCAGCCCTCTGGCCCCACCACCCAGGGACCAACTCTCTCAACCACTTTTGAAAAAAAACACCAAACCCTCACTGTATCTCCCTTTCCAGCCTCCCAGCTCAAACTGGTAGTTTTCCAGGCAGCAACATACACAACCACTTCCGAAGAGCCTCCCGATACCCTGTCTGAGGGTACCTGAAAAGCATCCTACGCACATTACATGGAGAGAAAATCAGATGCTCCAGCAAAACAAAATCCAATCACTGTCTGATAGAACAGTGACAGTGCACCCGTGTGACTGCACAGTCACATTAATCTGCAGCAGGTTAAGACACAGCCGGAGTGATGTCAAAATCCTTCATGAATGAAAGGCCGGACAGACTCTCCTGGCAGCCCAGCTCCCCTGCTCACAGTCCGCTGCCCGGTAACGGCACAGCCGAGCTGAATCACGTCGGGCTGACAGCCCTCCTGAACGCACAGCATTCAGCTCACCTGCTCTGAGGAGGGATGAGGCTGTCCCGGACGTGGAAAATGCCAACGTAGGGGTAACGCTCCAAATTCCGTTCCCATTCCTTATAGTGGTCTTGGACAACAGCTGGAGGGGAGGAGGACAAACTAGTGAGAGACCTCATCATCACAAGGGGAACAGGGCTACTCGATTTACAGAGCTACTGTATCCTACCTATGATCTTCTTCACCATTTCGTACATGGCTTGCTCCTCCTCCTCCATCTTCCGCCAGCGATACCTAAGGAAGATCAGGATCCCCCAGAGAGTTACCAGACCTAGAAGAATAAAAGCAAATGGAATTCAATATCTGACACACATGTACTGCTGGATGCTAGCAGTTTTATTTCTGACGCTGCCTCTCCCCAGGAGCAGCTTTCACTCCCTGCTACCCAGGCCTGCTTGGAACCAAATCCAAGCACATTGTTTTGCTGTGCCCTGCAAAAACCTTGGTACTGACAGCACCTGCAGCAGAAAAGCACATGTGGATGTGGGAAGAGGTGGTCGGAAAGCCTCATTACAGAGGCGTGTCCCCCCCTCAAACCTCAGCACAACCACAGGGCTTCAATTCTCTAAGTCTCAGAGCTACCTCTTTGCTAGAGGCCTCCCCCACAATAATCACTTAGGAAGACTGTCAAGCTTCACTGCTCCAAAGATAGCTGCTTGATAAGGAAATACAGCCTGGGGCTCCAGCACCAGCCCAAAAATCAGGAGATCTACACTGAAGATTTAGCACTGACAAATGCCCCTGTTACAACATGAGCTAACTTTAGTATCTCAATCTCTATGATAAACATAACTATCCCCTTTCACCCCCCACCTTGTCTGACTCGATTATAAACTCTTCTAGTCAACACTCATCTCTCGTTATCACCTCGCTCAGTAAGACCTCTGTCTCAGCTGGGGCATGACAGACTACTCCAATAAAACCTCTAACACTGAAATGCTACAAGTCATTATTAAACAGGCTAGAAAACTCTGCAGCTTAGTGCAAGAAAAGAAAGAAAAACCGAATCTTTTAGGGAGGTTAACAGACTTATTTTGCAGACCATAGTAATGGGTACTTGAGGAATACCCAGAGAGCTAATCAGCTGGCTGATTTAAAGTGTTAAGCACTCACAGCACAAGAGCAGGTCTACAGGTCTCCCTCGGCTGCCAGAACAAGTGTTAATTAGAAATTAACTCATCCGCAGACTTATTTCACCTCCGTCAGTAGTTTCATATAGCTGGGAGAACGGATGTGTGCGCATGGGTTCAGCTCTGGGGCTAGCAAGGGGGGGAGCTGATTACTAACACCGACGACTTACTCCAGAAGAAGAGGAAAAGGTTCACGACGGCAGTGACCACTGCCCGACTGAGGATGGGCCGATTCGAGACAGAACACTTCCTCCACTTTGGTAACCGGTTCCGAAAGGTCTCTGCCTTTCAACCTGAGGGGAAGAGGCAGAGAATCTTCACTGAAGAGAGCAGACACTCCAACTGCAGTCTTTAATCAAGACAGGGAGAACAGACTGCAGACGCAGTAAGTCGCCCTGCACACCACATAGAAAATACACCAACATCCTTGCAGCTCCTCTTTCCAGAACATTTTGGGACTGGCTGCTTGGCAAGGAATGGATACAGCTTTAGAAAAGGCAGCAGGGCTGGAACTCCCGCTGGTAAACTGAAGTCTCCCTCTGCAGACTCTTTGACAGCACCTCTCAGCGTGCAGAAGATTAAACTTTAAATTGGATTCCCACCTCCCAGCACAGAGAAATGGAAATGTTTACTGAGTCACTCATCAGCAATTGCAGAGAGAGCCGTCGAGGGAGACAGCGAATGTCCGTGGAGGTTGCGCTGTCCTCCTCGGTGCAGACGAGCACAAACAGTTGAGGTAGAAAAGTGACAGTGCATCAGCGGCCTCTGCAGCGCGAGACGGACACACCCTCGCCGATCACGGCAAAATCCATCACGCGTGCTCCTGCAAATCCCTCCTGCACACCTGCCGAGCCATCCCAGACACTCGCTTTACGAGATCTGGGAGGGGGCTTTTTCCAAGGGCCTGTAGTGACAGGACAAGGGGTAACGGGTTTAAATTGAAAGTGGGGAAGTTTAGATTAGATATCAGGAAGGAATTCTTCCCGCAGAGGGTGGTGAGGCACTGGAACAGGTTGCCCAGAGAAGCTGTGGATGCCCCATCCCTGGAAGTGTCCAAGGCCAGGCTGGATGAGGCTTGGAGCAACCTGGTCTAGTGGAAGGTGTCCCTGCCCATGGCAGGGGGGTTGGAACTAGATGATCTTTAAGGTCCCTTCCAACCCAAACCAGTCTGTGATTCTATGACCTACACCGATGTGGCCTCCTTGTTAGCCACCATCAGCCAACAGGCATCATGCAATCCAAGTGAAAGCCCTGAGATTCAGAGGAATTGGCCTAAAGGGGATTTTATTTATTTTTTAAGCTACTAATTCATTCTAGGTTAGCAACAAATAACCTACCAGACAAAGACATCTTCCCAATTCACCACTGCGCAGCTCACAAACTGTTGACAGCTTGTATTTGGTTACTGGATCCCGCAGTAGCTGGAGACACACAGTTGTTTCCCACCCTCTTGTCTTATTTACAACCCAAATGCCATGACAATGTTTTAAAATATGCAGCAGAATCACCCAGCGCAGGGCTTGTTTTCAATTCTGCCTCCCAGACTAGCACCTAGAAAAAAAATGATCTCATGTAGTGTTGGCTAAAAAGAAATGCCCCCCGCCGGTTTGGAAGCGTGCTGAACGCCCCTCCTGCGCGCTCCGCAGGCTTGGTGAAAGTGGATCCATTCGGCAAACAGCCGGCAGAGTTGCTAATTGTGAAAATAAAAGAAATGGGGAGTATATTGGATCACAGGGCTCCCGACAGGAGCAGCGTGCCTGCATAAAAATACAAATTTGAATGGATCTCAGCTACAAATCCAAAACTGCCACCCAGGAAGCTACGTCCCGTCCTGGGAATTTGCCGCGCACCGATAATCAAAGCAGTAAACACTGTCTGATCCTTCCATCACAGCAGCAGCAAAATTTTTTCGAGAAAACCAAAAAAACCTAGCAGCGGGAGCTCGCATGAGCTGTGCCCACCGAGGCCGGCATCACCGCTGCTACAATCCGTTCAATCAGAGACACAATTAGCGATGCTGGAACGTTGGAGTTCTGAGTTAGCACAGACTGGAGGCAGCCCACACTTCCCAGAGGAAGATAATGATGTCTGTGGACTCTGGGTAAGAGTCTTTCATTAGGTTATGGCCCGAGTGTTGTTTTTACCTGAAAAAAATATTTCTTATGCTATTTCTTATGTACTGAAGAGACTGCTAGTCAAGAAACCCAAGAGAAAAAGAGACCCACCAATGACTGACCAACAGCAGTCAGTCAGACCGTAACGCGTACGGTGTGTTCTGCCAGGAAGACAACTGACACTGAAGATACCACTGCACAATCCACTCTCCTCCTCATCGGGACTTGCTCCAAAGGATCCCAAAGCATGGGTGTTACCTACCAAACGGAGTGCTTTGGTGCCCCACAAGCCCTTTGTCCAGAGGATGCAGTTCCACGCAGTACCGAAGCTCTGTCTACAGCAGCAGTACCAAGTTATTTTGGGAAAAGTAGCTTTATGGGCAAGTGCAAGCAGCGTGCCGTGGTCACAGGACTGCGAGCAGGACACCAGGCCCACCACTCATAAACCTCGTAGGAAACACAACACAGCCATAAGCAGCCCTGACCTCAGCTTCACACCTCGTCTGCAAGACAGCATGTTCGTGAACGCAGTGTCCCCCAGCGCAAGGGCTGGGAAACAGACTCCCAAGGAATGAGCTCAGTTGCCAATTTTTGCTGCAGGGCTGTACTTTTCATTTGGAAGTTTGCCCAGCAAGCACTGCCAAAGCCAATTCCAGATTATCTTCTGAAATCTAACGAGGTACGGGAGCTTTTAGGGCACACCACGGAGGATGTCAACTTACGTTATCAGCCAACGCCAAGAAACCTGAACACAGCGGGTGTCCACTTACCATATTCCTAAATCCTTGTTACTGTTTAGTATCCAGTGCAGGGCAGCTTCGAACTTCTGGGGGGAACTACCAGTTATATTCTGTTCAGAAGAAAATCCGTAAGATTAGTTCTCCGTTCATTTAAAACACCGAATGACATTATTTCGTTACAGCAGAGGGAGGATTCATTCTACACGGTCTGTCCCCAGGTTAATTCTAATCATAATTCTGCCAACTGGAGGAAGGAGAACTAAATCTGAAGGTCTGTCTGGACTAAAGTCTTCTGACTGTGGCAGATGATGCATGAAGCACTCTGTAAAATAACACTATCCCAGACTGTTAAGACTAACCACTAAATACAACATCATCTTACTGACAGTTTACCATGAAAGAAATGGAATGCTAGATCAAAGCAGTCTGTCTTCTGACACTTTGGGGTATAGAAAAATCCTTCTTCTGCCCAGCCCTCAATCCAGGGAAATTTCTGGTTTCAGAAGACTGATGACTACGGTGAAACAACAAACCATTAAGTTAAGATTTACAGGGGCTGAATCAGAGATGTAGGAGAAGATGATTTTCAAAAGAACTGCTGAGAACAGGACTGGCCAACAGGGAAGCTAGAGATATGGGAAAGAATCAAAACAGGATGAGGAAGTAAAACAGATGGTGAATTGCTTTAGTATCTATTATTTATTGCCTTGTAAGAGACTAAGCACTACGTTACAACAATAGCTGTTCACAGCCTACTCACCACCACGTGATCCTTCGCTTCACTAACCCAAACGCATTTGCTTTTTAGATTCTCAGGGTTTCCGCATTCAAAATTACCTGGTAAAACAAGTCAAACAGAAGTAACGTTTGGGGGGGGAAAGAAATAAATAAAAAGCAGCCCTCAAACGGTTCAGAGACACAGTGAGCTCTCTAGAAATGCCATCCTTTAAAATCACCTACAGCTCTGGGCAAAATGATTACAGGGAAAGATTTATACTGTAGGCAGAGAAGACTGACTGTTAATAAGATGCTCAGCCACTGCACAGAGGTTGGGTGAGGGCAATCACACCTCCTTCAGTGGCGAGCTACTCAACAGAGAACAAAGGGGGAAACACCGTTTCGCCCCCCTGCATTGCACATAACCACCTCTCTGACCTAACGCCCCGCAGAGGGGCACCTTCCATCAGGTATCAAAGACCGAGGTGTTGGAGTGAACGATCAGCACTGAAAATGCTTCTGAGGAGCCTAAACCACAGCTCTACCTCCTACCCAGGCAGGGAAATGCTGGCGAGGGACTGAACCTTCTCAAGCTAGCTTCACAAAGCTGGCTGAACCAGAGACTACGTAAAACTGGTGGAAGTTGCACAGGAGCTGAAGTCTGAGTTGAAAAGATTTAGAAATTCCTTGAAGGTAAACTAAAGGATTCATCCTTATTGAGGTCTGAAATGCAGAAAATGGAACTTAAGTGCTTTTATCGATTATTACACATCCTGCTTAACAAGTTTTTGCTCGTTCACTGTATTCTAGCAGCCTTTCTCCATCACAAAATCCTAGTTATGGAGCAGATTTGCTGGCACAGAGTAGAGAACTACTGTGCTTGGTTAGCTGAGAGAGCCTGTCTCACTCTGTGCTGGGAAAAAGAGAGGCACTCAACATCATCAGCTGCCACATTTCAGCGGAGAGCTGGCAATTTCTGAAGTCGCTTTAACTTTACTTGTAAGAACACACTTACTGGCTCGGAGTGTCTTGAAGACAATTTCAAGATGCTGGTAGAAAAGAACCATAAAGCTGACTATTTCTACCTCGAATTCCCACTATATCAAGTGCAAATAAGGACCACTCCACCAGAGCACAGTGATATTAGCTAAGCATTATTCAGAATAAAAATAAACACATCTTATTACCGGTTTTCTATTACCTGACTTTCTCAGAGCTCTTCAAGTGGAACTGACTGTTCCATAAACCCCTCTCTTCAAACTGAGGTTAAAAATGTCCAGACAGCTGGGAGAGCAGTTTGCTGAATGCTCAGAAGTGGTTTATAATGACAACTGGAACTCACCGGCTTGTACGGACAAGTAGTTATACAACTCGTGCAGCACATTCATTATCGCATCCTTCTGTTTCCCCTGGCAGAACTGAAAGGCAGGAACAGGCAACCAAGGTGAACAGGCCAGCAGCCACAGGACAGTGGTCACACCAGCTAAAAATACCAACCCAAAACGCCAGCAGTGGGGTTTGGCTCAGTCACACACCACTAGTTCGGCTCCAACCCAGCAAAAATCTACTATTTCTGACTCAAAGGGAGCCAGCGCATCCTCTGGAAGTGTCCCCAGCCCAGACCGCAGCACCAGCCGACCCCCCTGACCGCTGAGGGGTTCCTTCACCCCAGGAGACTATCCATCACTCTGAATCCAACAGGAAATTTGCTCTCTCCTAATAATCCATGATGATACAAGAAATGGGGCCGTACAATTCCTGATGGGGTTGAGGGAATTAGCTGGATTAAATCCGTTAAAGCTGAACACTGCTTTATTGCCAACCAATATCCCTTCGGTTACAACTGTTAAAGAAATTGATTCACAGAATTGGGATTTTAAATGTTTATCTTTCGGCGTCTCATACACCAGTCCTAATTTAATCTGGCCCGTTAATTCCAACTCATCAAGTCACAATTTTCCTGTAAAACAGCACAACTAAACTTCACAGTGACACTGGTGCTGGAAGCCACCTCGAATAATTACTCCCTCGAATAATTAACCCAAGCCACAACACGTGGAGATAAAGAAATACGTGCTTACATCATCCGTTCTTCTGTCACAATCCACAGGCAAGAGATTAACTGCAAGAGAGAAGGGGAAGGCGAGTTAGCTGGCTGCAAAACAAGAGCTTTGATCAAGAAAGTAATTATCTTTTAAAGAGAAGGCTCTGCCTTAAAGCCCGATTCTCCTTAACCTCACTCCCGATGTCACCTGGATACACTCGGGTGGGCAGCACTGAAAGCAAAACAAGTAAAAATGGGTATAAACAATGAACCCCGTACAGCTGAAAAGTAAAACCGGGGGTCTGAATGTTTCACTAACTCCTCTGGAGTAGGTGTTCTGCCTTCCTCTACGGCCCACCGCTTCGTCTTTTACGATCTAGTAACGCCATTCGCTGCACGCTGCCGTCACCCGGAATACGGCGGGGAGAGCGGATTTAAATCAAGCCTCCTCAAGGCTGAAGCAGATTTATTTTAGCTGGAGCTGTTCACTCTGCGGATTACAGCCTCTGCTTTAAGAGCTCCCTCCCGCCCCGACAACTGGCTATACCAAGGTGGCGAGGGAGTGCTGCGTAACTACCCGAGAACATAAAGTATTTGCAGCTTTGCTGCAGGATTCCTTGCTTCAAAAGACCACTGGTTTTGAAATATCTACACAGTTTTAAAGGCTGCGTCAGAAATTCCATGCCATTGGGCAGCTGTATGCTTGGAGAAAGCAGGAAGCGGCTTTCCTAGCCCATGCGAAGCGCACCAACACCTACAGGCACAGCGTGCCGAGTTTTGGGACTCCCACCCGAAACAAATCCCCCCCAACCCTTTTCTTGCAGTTCAAAGCCATGAAATGGAGGAGACCTCATTGCAGCTTTCCAGTATCTGAAGGGGGCCTACAAGGGTGCTGGGAGAGGACTTTTTACAAGGGTCTGTAGTGATAGGACAAGGGGTAATGGGTATAAATTGAAATCAGGGAGGTTTAGATTAGATATCAGGAAGGAATTCTTCCCGCAGAGGGTGGGGAGGCACTGGGACAGGTTGCCCAGAGAAGCTGTGGATGCCCCCTCCCTGGGAGTGTCCAAGGCCAGGCTGGATGAGGCTTGGAGCAACCTGGTCTAGGGGAAGGTGTCCCTGCCCATGGCAGGGGGGTTGGAACTAGATGATCTTTAAGGTCCCTTCCAACCCAAACCATGCTATGATTCTATGATTCTATGAAATGGCAGTATTTCCACCCACACTAGCTGGGGGAACTCTGCTTTAACAAACGGGCAATGGACAAGGCCCTTTGCGTTTCTGATCGAAGCCCTGGCGCAGGCAAAGCGCTGGGGTACAGGTGCGACCGCCGTACTCCTCACGCGGCCAGGGTGAAGGCCCCGAAGGGCTGCGCGCTGCAGCGGCCAACGCTAAAAACACACAACAGGCAGCTACGCAGGCACCGCGTCACACAACGGACAATCACAACATCCACCCCCGGCCTCGGAGGAACGCCACTCTCCACCAACCCCGCGGTTGTGAAGAACCGAAGGCCAAACTCCTTTGAAAAAAAACAAAGCGCGCGCTTGACTTAACTCTCCACGACCAACAAGGCTTCCCGCGGGCAAGGGGAGATGGAAATGGGGACGGAAGCAGAGACGCCAAGTTAGAGCAATGAGAAATGCGATGGAAGTGATCAACGGAAAGCAGAAAAGGTGCAGAATAAAGATTAAAACCAGGATTAAACCAGCGCACGTACAGTTCTCCTCTCTCTTGTCAAGCCAGCCTGACCCAATCATCTTCACCACGAGGATGCCCAGAAAAATCATCAGCAGGACGAAGCTGGCGAGGCAAAGGAACTGGGAGAAGTAGTACTCCAGGCCTCTGCCCATTCCTTCCGTCTGCTGCTTGGGGGCTGACCGCAACAGGCGAGGGCGGGAGGTTACTCCCTGTCCTGCTCCCCACGATGCGTCCCACCGGCTCCCCGAGGCCTGCCCCGCATCGCTCGTAGCCCTCCACGGGAACCGCCGGATCAATCCCCCTCCCCAGCCGCGGGGGTTCGGCTCCCTGTCTGCCTTCTTCCCAACACTGGAAGCCAAGTCCTCCTTCCCTCTCCCAAACGGGTGACTCAACCCCCCAGGTCCCGCAGAGGTGCCCCACGGGGTGCTGGGTGTCACCTCGCTGTCCCGTCTCCACAAGCTGTTAGAGAGCCCCCTCCTTTCCCCTCCTGACTCCCACTGACCTCGGGAGCTCTGCCCCCCAGTTCCTCCTCCGGAGGCACCCCAATGGCTCCTGGACTTCAGACCCCCACTGTCACCCCAGGAGGAGAGGGAGCTCAGCCCCCCAGCCCCATCCAGGGACGTCCCCGCCCCAGTCCTGATGCCGAGCCCCCCGCTCCTCTCTGCAGACGTGCTCCACTGGGACGTGGCGTTCGACTACCGAAACGTGTCCAGGGGCG